GCTGGGAGCCGGGCGGCAGGCCCCGCCTCCTGGGCGGAGCGTAGCAGGGGGGCGGGGTTAGGAGGCGGTGGGAGGGGTAAGCCCAGCCAATGAGACCAGCTGCTAATAGGTGGGCTGGGCTTGCCATTTAACAGTGGCAGGAGGAGGAGAGCCAAGCTCTGGAGCCAGCGAGGAGTGGAGCTGAGCCTGGCCTCGCATGCTGCCAGAGGACCACCTCCCGAGACAAGAGTTCTTCCCCCTCTTCTGCTCGCTCCCAGCGCCCCTGCCGCCCTCCCTTCCTGCCCAGTACAATGCATTCTTGACTGGCAGCGCCTGGACTCCTAGCAGCCCCGAGAGCCGGAGCAAGCCACAGGGAGGACGGGAGCCAGCCACTCTGGTGGGAGCTCGGATGCCTGGCACTCTTTGAGGACATCTCTGGAGCAACGGTGGCTTTGGGGTGGGGGGTGGTGCTGCAGGCAACCCAGCCAGGCCCCAAGATGGACACTTCTGGGCACTTCCATGACTCGGGGGTGGGGGACCTGGATGAAGACCCCAAGTGCCCCTGTCCATCCTCCGGGGATGAGCCTCTGCAGCAGCAGCAGCAGCAGCAGCAGCAGCAGCCACCGCATCCCTTGTCTCAGCTCGCCCAACTCCAGAGCCAGCCCGTGCACCCCGGCCTGCTCCACTCCTCTCCCACGGCTTTCAGGGCCCCCCCCTTGTCCAACTCCACCGCCATCCTCCACCCTTCCTCCAGGCAAGGCAGCCAGCTCAATCTCAATGACCACTTGCTTGGCCACTCTCCAAGTTCCACAGCCACAAGTGGGCCCGGTGGAGGCAGCCGGCACCGGCAGGCCAGCCCCCTGGTGCACCGGCGGGACAGCAACCCCTTCACGGAGATCGCCATGAGCTCCTGCAAGTACAGTGGTGGGGTCATGAAGCCCCTCAGCCGCCTCAGCGCCTCCCGGAGGAACCTCATCGAGGCTGAGCCCGAGGGCCAACCCCTCCAGCTCTTCAGCCCCGGCAACCCCCCCGAGATCATCGTCTCCTCCCGGGAGGACAACCATGCCCACCAGACTCTGCTCCACCACCCCAATGCCACCCACAACCACCAGCACGCCGGCACCACCCCCAGCGGCACCACCTTCCCCAAAGCCAACAAGCGGAAAAACCAAAACATTGGCTATAAGCTGGGACACAGGAGGGCCCTGTTTGAAAAGAGAAAGCGGCTGAGTGACTATGCCCTGATTTTTGGGATGTTTGGAATTGTTGTTATGGTGATAGAGACCGAGCTCTCTTGGGGTTTGTACTCAAAGGTAGGGGCCGTGGTTTCTCTTTATACCTTGAACAAAAGGAATATATAGGTAGAGAGAGAGAGAGAATGATTGAGAGATTGATTGCGGAGAGCGGTGGTGGTGGTGGGGAGAGGCGGTGGCTCAATTATATTGAACACTCTAAGTTCCCGTGGTTTTCCTTCTTAATCCTGGGAGAATTCATTCCTGGTTTTCTTGGAGGGAGGACATCCCCATGCACTGTGTCTAATTTGCAGACTCCGTGTTGGGGAGGATTAAAGAATCCCTTCTGAGAAACCTCCCCACCCCACCCGGCTCACCGGCACTAACCCATAACCCAGTGGCTTAACGCACCAATTAATTACACGCTGCCTGGGTGTGCTTGCCAGCTCCCGCGACTTCCCTCCTCTCCTCCCCTCCTTGCTCCACTCCATTTTCCCGAGGATAAAAAAGAAATAAATGTCTGGGTGGGGGGTAGGGGTGCCATGCCAGTCCCTTCTCTGTCTGCTCCCTCTCTTCCCAAGTTTCTGTTTCCCTCCTCATCCCCGAGAGACTTAGGGCGAAATCCAAAAGCACCGTGGCCCCCGTCTCGTCTCGTGGGGGCCTGGGATAAAAATACAGGTGGAGGAAACGAGCGGCTCTTCCCTCAGGAAAGAGGACCCAGAATAAACCTGCTGCTGCTTCTAAGCAGCCCCTGATAAAATGGCTACAGGTGTTCCCCGGGCAGAGCAGATGGGCACCGCCTTGGCACCAGCCTGGGTGTGGGGCGGGGGGCGGGGGGAGCGCCTCTCCTTCGGTTGGGATGACAAGGCTTCCCAGGCATCCCCGAGAGTTCGCTTCCCGCTCAGCCCCGTCCTCCCCTCCCGCCCCAGCGTCTCCTCTCGGGGGTAAATGAGGTGGAGTGTGTGTGTGTGTGTGTGTGAGTGCGCGCTGATGGAGCCGGCAGCGCCCACTTTCGTGGGGGAGCTGGCCCCGCGGCTCCAGCCTCGGTCGGGCTGGAGATGGAGGATGGGGTCCCTCACAGGGGGGCTTGGAACCCGCGTCCTCCAAGGCGGTGGGCGTGGAGGAAGGTGGGTTTGCTCATGCTCCGCCTGCTGTGGGCTCAAAGGCTTGGAGACCCGGGGAGCCGCGGGGCAGGTGGACTTTTCCCATTTACCCCTCACCCCAATTTGTTGGCGTGTGTGCGTGTGCGTGCATGTGTGTGTGCGCCTCCTTGTTGCTGCATTTCTCACTTATTTGTCATTTTGGGCAGGGGGTGGCTGGGCAGGCTGCCTGTAGCTGGGAGGGGCTCAGCTGTTGGAGGTTTCAAATAGAGCTTGTTTCAGGCTGAGCACAGCTGCTGCGAGACTGTCACATTCCTTGTTGAAATCCAGCCGCTAAAACCTGGGAGGTGCTGATCGGATTTCCCATTCCCAGCCCGGCGCGCTCTGACCGGGGACGGGCAGACGGGGCCGTTCTGGAAAGGGCTGGGGCAGAGCCAAGACTCCCAGGTGGAGGGTTCCCCCCAGGAACCTGGCCGCTCGCAGGGGCTCCCAGCTGAGCAGCTCCTAGAAGCTGCCTCCATCTAAATGCTCCAGGATTTGAATCCCTCAGCGCGCAGAAGCGAGTGGGGTTTCCCCCGGAATCGCAGTCACTTAGTCATTCCCTGTAATGAGCCTCTGAGTCTGCAGGTCCTTCTGCTCGCTGCTGACTCCCCTTCCAAGCCGCAGGGAGAGGGGGCTGCCACCCCCAGCGGGCTCGGCAGCCACCCTGAGCACAGCCCTGGCTCCCTCCAGTCACACCCCCTGGGGACCAGGAGCCCCTGCTGGGAAACGAATGCAGGCCCAAGTGCTGGGGGTGAGGGGAAGACAGCACCTCCTCTTTCAATGACCCCCGTGGTCAGCTCTTCCTAGAGACGGCCCCCCAGTGGGATCCGTGTGTGCACATTTGTTTTTTCATGCAATGGGGGGAGAGGGGGTGGCCGCTGGGCAGCCAAGGGCTGGGAGCAGGTGCCATGCCGACGGAGTGTTCAGGGAGAGGGGCTTCCCCAGAGTCGGAGAAAACAGGCTCTGGGGTGAAGGAAGGGTGAAGCGACCCACGGGGCCAGGCTGTACCCTTTCGAAGATGGGGAGCCCCTGGTTGATGGCAGCACAGAGTGGGCCTTGCTTGCCTCCGCTGGTGAGATGGCCACTTCCTGTGCACCTGGGGTCGGCGCTGGTTATGAGTAGGAGGGCTCACTCATCCTGAGCCCCTCTGTCCGCCCAGAATTGGGTCATTATGAAAGGAGGACGCTCTGGGTGTCTCCTCTGTCAGGCCTTGTGGACCCAGGAGGGGTGAGGTGGCTGCCCCTCTCTTCTCCTGTGGGCCAGCAGGGTTGTTTGAAAGACTCAGACTGAAGTGTGAGTCCCAGCTCTGCCCCTCCCGGTGGTGTGATCTTGGACAAGCCATGTAGCTTCTGCAAGCCTGTCTGCCCAGCCGTCAAGCGGGGAGAAGGGAGTTAACTAGGCGTGGGGCGCTGCGTGCAGTGCCTGCTCGATCACCAGGGCCTATTGTTGTTATTAATCATGATGGTACGGAAGAGAGGAAAAGGAATGTCTTTTTCCTGTGATCTCCTTCTGGCTCCGGAATTAGTTGGGGCCTTCAAGGATTGGGAAGGAAGACTTGTCGATGGAGTCGAGAAGTTGTATCTCGGAGGAAGTTCTGAGAAGGGGCTAGGTCTTCTCACTGGCACCCTCTCGCCACGTGGGTCTGTTGTAGGGGGGTGGACATCTGTTCCCTGGCCTCGTGGGGGAACTGGCTCTGTTGTGACAGGGGGGTTTGGGTGAGAACGAAGAACCACCAACAGGGGGGACTCAGAGGTGGTAGTGGGCCTGGGGGAGGGGTGGGTGATGGTTTCTTTTGCTGGAGAACTTGTGCGTCTGGTTGGCTCCGCGTGTCTGGGAGCAGGAGGATGGGTAATTCTCACCAGGTTGGGTAATTCTGCACTGATGGGGGCAGTTCCCACCCAGAGGGCCCTGGGGAGAGGGACACCCCTCCCCACCATGTGACTAAAGACTACCAACCCTGGGCCTGAGCTGCTTTCGGAAGTTCTCTGCTTTTATCCACGGAGCCGTGGCCTTCCTGTGTGTCTGTGTTTGACTGATATCTGTTCCTGGTGGAGAAATCGCCCTGAGGCCGGGCTCTCTTGAGATGAACATGGCATGTCCCTGAGCGCATCCAAAGTTAGTGCAGAAGGGAGCCAGGGAGAGGAGGTACGACACAGGGACAGAGCCGTCCTGGCCCCCCTTCACCAGCCCTCCGTGAAGTCGGGGAAGGAATGGGGGGAG